GTGCAGCCCCTGCTCGGCGGCGGCGCAGAGCTCGTCGGGGCCCGCGGCGCTGCCCTACGGCTACTTCGGCAGCGGCTACTACCCGTGCGCCCGCATGGGCCCGCACCCCAACGCCATCAAGTCGTGCGCGCAGCCCGCCTCGGCCGCCGCCTTCGCCGACAAGTACATGGACACCGCCGGCCCCGCGGCCGAGGAGTTCAGCTCCCGCGCCAAGGAGTTCGCTTTCTACCACCAGGGCTACGCGGCTGGGCCCTATCACCACCACCAGCCTGTGCCCGGCTACCTGGATATGCCGGTGGTACCGGGCCTCGGGGGCCCCGGCGAGTCGCGCCACGAGCCCCTGGGTCTTCCTATGGAAAGCTACCAGCCCTGGGCGCTGCCCAACGGCTGGAACGGCCAAATGTACTGCCCCAAAGAGCAGGCGCAGCCTCCCCATCTCTGGAAGTCCACTCTGCCGGGTAAATGGCACCCCCTCCCCAGCCCCGCTCGTGCCTGGATCGCCGGGCGCCCCGCGGACTGTGTCCCCAGGCCTCCCTCCCAGCTGACTGGTGCTGCCCTGCCCTGCCCTGCCCCGAGTGGGGCTGCCCCTGGCCCTGCCTGGGTGAGGGATGGTTATGAGGGGATTTGTGGGCATCCCAGCTGGCTTCCTGCACTCTCTGTGCCCCGCCCTCCCCAGCTCTTGTCACTAGCTTAAGGGTAGGAAAATAGTTCTCCAAAATGCTCTTATTCTCAAAAAAAATGGCTTTCAGTCCTGTAGCATCCAGTGTCAGCGTTTGGGGTATAGGGGAGAGCCAGGCACAGGATTGTCCCCTGAGATGGGCACCAAGGTGTGGGCCACTGGGCTAGAGGGTCGAGCAGAAGGCGCGCTCCGGGGAGGCTGGGGGGTTGGTGGTTGGAACCCTGGGCCTTTCTAAAGTGACTCTCCCCTTGCCACTCATCCTCCAGACTTCGGAGGCAGGCCGGATCCAGATCGTACAGCGTGTGGCAAAGGAAAAGCTGTGTGTCTGGACTAGGCGGGTAACTCTCTCAGATATGATTGTGTCCTTGCTGGGGTCTGCTGCCCGCATAACTTGCTTTCTCCCTTGTCTTCCAGACGTCGTCTCGCACCCCTCAGATGCCAGTTCCTACCGACGAGGGAGGAAGAAGCGTGTGCCTTACACCAAGGTGCAATTAAAAGAACTTGAACGGGAATATGCTACCAACAAATTCATTACCAAGGACAAACGGAGGCGGATATCGGCCACAACGAATCTGTCCGAGCGGCAAGTCACAATCTGGTTCCAGAACAGAAGGGTCAAAGAGAAAAAAGTCATCAACAAACTGAAGACCACTAGTTAATGGATTAAAAATGGAGCAAGAGGGCAGCTTGAAGAAATGCTTCAGAACTAAGTGCTCTGCTCAGGTAATGCCAATCATGCTTAACAGCAATTGAAGAACCAGAGAGGGAAAGAGAAAGACACTGACATTTGTTTTCTTAAGGAGAACCTCTTTCTCTTTGGTGGAATCTACAACTTTTTTTTTTTTAAGCCAAGCCATTAAGAAATGGTAAAGACTGACAGAGTTCCAGTCCCACCAGACCTTTAAATGAGAAACTCTAGAGTCAACGCCAACCCCCAAATATGCAATTTCAGATAAGTTACGTATTTACTGAAATCTTGTAAGTATTTATGTGACCGTTTTAGACCACTGTGTTAGATGGTAATAATCTGAACGTTGGTTCCCAAAGCAAAAAGCTGTTGTAAGCATTGCGTGTCCTTGGCCGCCATCCCTGTTGCATGCTGAGCGAGTGTTCAGGTAAATCTTAATGAAATCCCTGCACTTGTTCTGTGCTCCGCAAAATGTCCCATGTGTAGATTCAGAGGGAGAAAAACAGAAGGTACTGAAATCATGGTTTCGAGTTACTATGAAGGGAGAAATCAACAGAGAGAGCTTCCCAGGACCATTTCTCTTGGTAGAGCATCTAACCAGCTGAGCCTTGGAGGCTAGAAGGGAATTTCCTTCTTGAGAATATCTCAATGTTTTCTTAAAAAATAATGTTTAAAAATTACATATAACAAGCATAATTTGTGTCATTTGTACCATATTTATGGCCCTAATATCTTTTATTTTAAAATTATTTCATCTCTTTATAAATAGTATCAGATGAACCACAGAATCCGTTTTTATGCCAGGTATTACAGAACTTGGGGGTGGAGGAGTCCCTCTCCATTATAAGGGACTTTGGTTCAAACAATTTATTTCTAAATTGGCAAGTCCCAATCAATATTTGAAAAATATTTTGTTCAAGGAGAGAAAAAAACCCTGCCCACCCTTTAAAAAACATCAAACACAAAACAACAAAACCCAAACAAACCCGAAGCTAAGAAAGGAAATCTATTCCCCTGGAAACATTTCGATGCTCTCCATTCCATAATCTATTAAGGGGTTTATGTTTTCCTCATGTTTATTCTGTTCTAAGACAGCATGAAGAGGTTTAGGGATTCATCCTCACAGCGCATTTTTAATCAAGCAGTTATTTCAACTAGCACATTCATTTTGTTCGTATTCACTATAAGATGGTATCTTGTAAATAAAGGCATTCAGCACAATGTGAAAATGTATTTGTGCACCTGCTTTTAAAATATTTCATATTTCTAGTAAAAATGAAGAAAAAAGGAAACAGACTTGTAGATAGTGATATAGTGGTATTACCCTGTTAATAAAATAGTCACCACCATTAAATGTGAAGGAAATATTCATTATTTTCCTACGCACTGCACGGAAAGAACGCATCCAGTTTGTCTTATGCAAACCAAGGGCCATTCTTTTCTGTTATTTTTCAGCTGCTTCCCCCACCCCCCCCCACCCCTCTCCCGTTGGGCTACAGTTTATTTTTAAGCTAAGGGACTAAACCCCTAAAATGATAAGTGCTTCAAGAAGGTTAAAATGTCAGGTATTCTGAAAGGAGAAAAAAGAAAGAAGGAAGAGATAGTATAAATTCCCAGGCTCCGTGTGGAAAATGAAAACCAGTTGTTTAGTATCAGCGATGCCTAGACTGTCGTATATTAAGATCTGCCATTGGGCCTGAGTTTGTCTGAGAGAGCAGGTTTTGATATTTGTTGAAATGACAGGACTAGGAAGGTCCTTAAACCTTGACCTTGACGGAAAAAAGACAATTTGTGACCTTGACTTTTGACAGCTCATGAATTGGCCTCAGCTGGGATTAGTAGATCAAGGGCGCCACCTCGCGTTGGCAAGCCTTCCCGTACTACTTCAAGGGAATCCGAAAACCTCTTAACCTCTTTGATTTCACTGTTTTAGGGATTCAGTACTCTTTTCTTTGGCTCTTTATAGAGCGAATTTGAATATATGTAAATTATACATGTGCCTGTATATATGTTAATATATATCATATATGTGAATACATGTATACATTTGCATATACATGTTTGTGTGTGCTTGTGTATATATATTTGTAGAAGCTGTACAGATACAGTATCATTACTTGCTGATGAATAATGAGAGATATTGTAATTTAAGGTGATTTCTGGAGTTAGGATACAAAATGTAATTTACGTGTTGAAATTTTGTTCCTGTTCTTTAATGGCCAAGTTTGATTTGTTTCACCATGGCTTGATGTCTGGAGATCTACTTGTAAACTATACTTTTTTTTTTAACAGTCTAAGAGATGTTCTTAAATAACCACTTTCCTCGCCTTGCCCTTCAAGGTGGTCTACCACCCTAATTAGAGTTACTGGAGAAACTTTACAGCAAATAAAAGGCTTCGGATGCCCTCTTTACTCTAGAGTTCTAGAGTTACATTTCAGAAATTCAAAGAAATCCACCTATTGATAGGTCAGTATGGAGAGCTTAAAGTTCTCAGATCTACCAAATGACCATAATATGGATGCAGAAGTGAAGTTATCCAGGACAGCTTGAAGTCAGGGGCTACTCCAAGGTGATGTGCAATCTTATACAGATGCTTGCAAATCTGTCATTTAATTTGTGGGACAAATATCCTTTTATTTAACTGTCAACAGCCACCTCAAAGTTGTTATAATAATAAGTACTATAACTACTGTTAATTAATCTCTAACAACATGTCAAGTGCTGTATTGAGAATCCTAAATAATGTTTATGCATACTTTATATATTTGATATACACAGGAGGTTAAGTTGGTTTGGGGGTTTTTTTTACTAGCCTGTGATATATATACACATATATGTGAAATGTATTGATGGAACCAGGAGCCTTTGGATGCAGAATTTTTATATTCAGGTCAATTTTTGGGTTAGAGCAAGAGGAAAAGACTCATTCATGAAGAAACCAAGGTCATAATGTTATGGAAAGTAGTTGCTTGGTTACAAACCTGACTAAAGGAACCTTGCCTAGATACTGAGCATGTCTTTGGAAATGAAGACTTATGGAAAGAAGCTCTAAAGATGGCCCCCAAACAAGATGGTCTTGTAACGTGCAATGTGGAATGGCCTGATGCAGTGCAATCCTGTTTTTCTGCCCCGAGGATTTTTACTCATGGAAAACAGTGCATCTCATCCAGGGCACTCTACTTCCAAGTGGGCTACCTCCCAGCCAGTACAATAGCTTTCTTTAAGTGGTGGAAAATCCCCTCAAAGCCAGATTAAACTGCATGGTTATGAACAGCTCCAAAGGAACTTTTCTGTCGATGGGAGAGATATGTTCTGAGCTTCAGGCCTAGGAAGGAGGCCAAAGGCAGTTCTGTAGCCTGGACATCACACCATTACAAAGTCATAGCCACCAGAGGAGCCCCGGTAATGTAGCCACCTTTTTCTCCTCTCTTCAGTTTTTGAAAGAGCATATTGCAAGGTTTTCTTTGCTTTTTTTTTTTAAAAAAAACTGTTCTAAAATGATTGTTGATCTTTCTGATCTTACCTAAGGACGCTTATATTTTATATTCTTACGTTTCTGCAGGATAGCCTGAGCTAGGAGACAGAGGTTATGATGGCTCCCTAATGGCCAAATAGCAACCATCTCAACCTTTAGATAAAAGGAACCAGAGGGTGCCAACTAGATTTTGAAAATTAAGAATGATAATCCTGAAAAATGCCCACTTTCTTGGCTGCATTCTTATTGAAAAGAAATTCATTCCTATTTAAAAATAGGACTGACAGTAGGAATAAGAATATGCCTAAGCAATGTCGCTGAATGCTGATTCAAGCATTATTTCTGCAGACACAAAACTTTTCTTGGATAATTATAATGTGGAATTAAAGTAAAAAAATATATACACAAAAGCAAACCAAAAAACCACACACCAAAACCAAGCTCAATTTTCATGCATCTGCTTTTAATACTGTTGAATTAATTAAGGTACTGAGGTATTTTAAGTGGGTGATTATAATGTGTTATTGTGCATTCCCTGCTATTTTACGTAATGAGAAAAAAATTTTCTTTTAAAAAAAGAAAAAGAAAAGAAATTAATTCTAAAGAACTTGGAGGAAAAGAATATTAAGGTGAACTGGTTGGAGGTTTTGGCATGTGAGTGGGTTGTGTTGTTTGGTTGGTTTGTTGGTTTTGTTTGTGTTGTTTTGGTTTTTTTTTAACCCAACCTAATTGAAAAGCTTTATTTAAAAATTCTCGCGACAGCAAAAATCAGCTGAGGCAATACATTTGTGTATTAACTGCAAGGTTTTCACGTGGTGATAGTGCTCAGATCATGCCCTGTTCGGTCAGTGGAGGGCCGGTGGGGATGCGCGCGGCCCGCTCGCTCCTGGTGAATTCCCTGCACAGATAAGCCTCTCAGGTCCGCTAACCCCAGCCTTGGGGCACCTTCCGAGCATGCGGGGCGTCGACCACAGAGATTGAGACCTAGAGACGTGGTGATTTACGTGCATTCCTTTAAAGTTGATCGAATGCATGTCAGACCTGGAGATTCACGTGCCATTTTTCATAAGCAACGATGGAGCTTCGTCCAAAGGCCTGGGAAGATTTATGCCAGCTTTTAGGACAGGCACGCTTAATTAAGTTTTCATTTGCTCAGCCGCCAAGTAAACAACAGCCGTTTTCCCTTTTTTTGTTGGTTTTTTTTTTTTCATGAAAATATTATTTTGCTGCTTGGCAACTTCTGTACTCAAGTATCCACTACCTACGAGCGTCCGCGAGGTGTTTACTATTTATAACTGGATCTGAAGGAAAGAGAAAAAAGAAGCTGGCACAGAAAAATGTCTCCTCGAGAGTAGCTCACGCAGTCCTGCTGCTGAAGAGCCGCTGCGGTCACTGAAATGACTGCAGCGGCGCCTCAGGACCTCGGGCGGGCGCGCGGCCCTGCGAGGCGCGCGGAGGCTTCTGCAGGACAAGGGTCTTCTCTGGACAAGTGAGA